GAGATGTTTGAGACCACCGATTTTCTTTCCAATCTGAGACTAAGCAAAAGAGTATAATTCATGCTGGTTTTAGGCAAACCGATCTGCCACCGCCGGTACTTTGTGCAAATACGCTAAATATGTCTGGTAAATTGGAAAAAAAAAAAAGGACCATGCTGACCTATATTTAAAACAATAGCTTCATAAAGATACATCAAGATATAAGATGTTAACCCTAATACATAATAATGCCATTCTCACGTGAGGAGCAGAATTTAGACCCAGATGCAGACACAACACGGCAGTGGCAAAGTAAAAAGTCATCATATACAAAAATACAAACAAAGTATACAAAGTAACAACAGAGAGCCAGGCTGGATGCAGAAAACAAAAATAGTCGTAATGGTGAGCAGGGCTGGATGCAGAAGGCATGAAAGAAAGCTTGATATTGTGACGTGTTACTGAGCAACTCAATCTTAAACACTGACAGACAGGCAATGACCAATCTTGTCTGACAAAATAAGGGCGACAAAATCATGTACGTGACCCTCGTAAGGATAAGCAGATCAGATAATGGATGGGTGTTTAACACAGAAGTATCTTGAAGAAGCAATCAGGCACTTGCTGCTCTATATTTGTTAACAGTGTGCCTGTGCTGGAGTGCAATAACTCACATATCCGCAAGCCTTCGTGTGCTCGTTACAGAATTGGCTAAAAGTAGACGACTTAGAAGTATTGTTCCAGGTCATGTAATTTGGATGAAATGTAATCAAAAGGAGGCAAACTCGGACATCCGTGAATGCAGTATGTGTGGTGGGCATCATATTTCATTCATAAATATGACAACATTGGGCATCAGTCTATATGAATCTTTACAGAAATCGATTGAATGCATTATTATTATTATTATTATTATTATTATGACAGGAAATCCCCCTCCATTACAAAAAGAAGGGGAAAAAACAAGAGATGGTGGGAAGGGTTTAACATGTTACTTAAGAAAATGAGGGCTGCCAGTTTGTCCAATGTATCACAAAATAGACTTTACTCGCTCACATTCCACATCAGACTCAAACGAGGAGACAAAACAGTATATTCAGTAAAATGTTTTAATGTGTTTACACAAAACAGTTATGTTCTGTTTTTAACCATGCTGCAAAAAGTGAGTCCTTTTCTGATCATTTCTCCTTTCAGCAAAATAATGCATTTGCTTTCAAGGACCAAAATTGATGACAACCCTATTTTTTCTTTCATGTTGGTCTTTCCAAACAAGTAAAAATTTGTGTTTGGAAACAAAAGATACTAAGCACATTCCCTGGTCTTCTCTGGCTAAATGGTACATTAAATAAAATGCCAACAACATGGCGCATTGGAGTACTTACTGCTTCGTTATCAACATCTCAGTGTTTTAATTGGAAAATGAGGTTGTGCACTTGCCAAGACATACTAAAGCAAGCTGACCAAAAAAAAAAAAAAAAAAGCACACTCTGTTCTTCAAGGCCCTGTGAAGTTTTTGGACAACAACAGCAACCCACTTCATATCAAAGTAGGGCTTTGTTAACTTTCTATAAACAAAAGAATCCATCCAAGCGAGTACCGCCACTGCACCCACGCACACAGAATTCCCAGAGGTGCGGAACACGAAGTGCGCAATGCAGTTTGAGGTCTGTTAACGTGACTCAGAAAGAGCTGTGCTTTTGATGTAGTGTTCAAAGTGTTCATTGTTCTTTCAAGAAATATTTATTAATACATATATATTCATCAACCAGTTCAGGGTGTCCCCTGCCTGAGGACAGCTGGCATAGGCTCCAGCATGCCCCACTACCCTTCTGAGGATAAAGTGGTTCGGAAAATGGATGGATGGATGGATATATATTCATACATCCACTATGATCTCAAGTAATAGTTTTAGTAAGACTGCAATGTGGTTGGGATGATGTGTGTGTGTGTGTGTGTGTGTGTGTGTGTGTGTGTGTGTGTTGTGTGTGTGTGTGTGTGTGTGCGCGCGTGCGCGCGCATGCACGAGAAGATGATATGTGATGACATAGGCCCACTTCATTGTCCGACTGATATTTCATGGACAAGAAACCATCCATTACATTCCTGCCATGGTGATTATGTACATTTAGGGCACATACACATGGCTACCGCATTGTAATAATTTTTTTTTAAAGTAGCCTATATCTGTGCGGCACGGTCCGGAGTGGCCCACAGACCGGAGTATTTCGCCAGATTATTTCTGTATCGTGGATTTCACTTATTGCTGTTGTAGTTCAGAACGTAATTGCTGTATGTGTGTGTGTGTGTGGGGGGGGGGGGCACACGGGCATGTGCAGTACTGGGGGTGAAAGCCAGTCTCTTAGTGCCCACTTCACAGATCTTTAATGTCCCAAGCCAACTTTACATCATCCATCTGTGGATGTCTACTTATAGTTCCCTCCTAAATGTGCTTTGACCTTCTGCATGGACTCCATCAAATCACTTTCTCCTTCCGCCATGCCAAGGACTATGCGCCTCTCGTTCACACCCCCAACGGCGCAAACCACCAGTTTTAAACTGCATCAAGCTGCGTGCATTTGCGAAAATAACAAGACAAAGTCTAGCCCACCCCTGCGCAATTTTAGACCACTCCTCGCACTAGACATTTGCTAGTCATAAGAAGAGAGCCCTAGTTGTCTAAAGGGGAAGTCAAGGTAACAAGTCTCTTTACAATTATACTGTATGTTGTGTGTGGCCCCACTAGTCTAAATATGGTACACTGAGTAATTAGTTCGTGGAATATGAATTAAGCAGGAAATACAGATGTGTTTTTAATCCATTTCAGGGGGTTACCATTTTGCCTTGTCAAGACATCACATTGCCCAACGGCTTGGCTTGCAAACATCATGTGGGCAAACCCAGAAAAAAGGGGATCCGTGATGTGCACAACCTTCACCCTAGCCCTAATCAATTACAATCAATTGTGGTCAGTTCTGGTCGTAACAGACTTGCTGTACAAAAGAGCATCTTAGCTGGACTGGACACTTACATAATACATAAATGAAGATTCTTTTATGTTTTCACAGTATGTGCAGTGTTTGAGATGAAACGTGGATGGATGAATAAATGCCAAAATAATTAGGGAAAACGTCGTCAATACCTAATAGTCTTTTAAGAGTTAAGCAAATTATAGCAAACTAATTAATTAGTTTATACACACGATAATATGTATACTCTTACAATTAAGATAGTAGCCAATCCTCACACTCTCACCCTTCCAGGTCTCACTGTCATTGCCCAAATGAGCATTGAAGTTTCTCAGCAGGAGCACTCCACAGCACCACAGTCCAACGACTCCAAGAAGAGTGGGTAGAGTGAGGCTACCCTTCCATCCTTCCAAAGTGCAGGCACCGAGCCGAGGGTGATATGAGTATGCCCACACCTGCTTGGTGCTTCTCTTCATGGGCAACTCCAGAATGGAAGAGAGTCAAACCTCTCTCAAAAGGATTTGTACCAGAAACCAAGTTGTGTATGGAGGTGAGCCAACTATATATAATCAGAGCTGCTCAACTTCACACACCAGCTCAGGCTTATTCCCTGTCAGAGAGGTGACCATCCATGTCCTAAGAACCAGTGTCTGAAGCTGGGGATAGGACTGCCCCCGTCTTCAGCCATCATCATAACGAGTCTTTGAGGAATGCATGAACTGGTCTCTCACCAAGGACCTGTTGGCCGTGGGTGACCCTGCCAGGGACATAAAGCCGCAGACAACTTAGCTTCTCGGTTCATTGGGACACACAAACTCCTCCACCCTGACAAGGTGACAGCTCAGGCAGGGGTTTCCTCTTCTACGTTTGCATGATTATACTGACTTTAATCCCTAAAGGGGAAATTCAATATCCACTTTGCTGTTTATGTATTTTGTGTTGCACATCACACTAATAGAACCAAATCACATCCATGCAGGGATGAAAGGAGAGATGAGACAGTGCTGCACCTCTTGAGCTGGTGCATGAAGGATTGGTGCCTAGCTCAAGGAACACACAGATACACCATTGTGGGGGCAAGGCAGGTTGCAATTGCCCAAGTCATATGCATGGCCGTTTGCATCATCTTCAAGGGGAGATATTGTAATTAACCTGGATAAGCTCACTTTGCGTGCGCCAATGTCATGCACGGACCCCAGCGGGTCTATTTCTACTTCCCCAATGTCAAACTTTGCATCTTCTTTGACCACCCTAATTTTAATGCAAATGAGGGAATCCGTTCTGATTGGTCGGTTACATCCTATCCCACAACTGCGCACAACACCCATTTCCATTTGACATGTTAAAATATTACAGCCTGACAAATTTGTAATTCTTTGTAATATGACCAAAATCTGTTCATATTAAAAGATAAATACTGTATCGTTAAAGATAAAAACATACTTTATGAACATGGAAGAAAAAACAAACAAACATTTAAAATGGTTAAAAACTTGTATGTTTATTTTGATTATTGTAACATTTTCTTGTCTATCACACCAGTGACAGTGTTTATCGGGGATTTCACCACAGTTTGTGATCAGTCGATCTGAGTTTGATTTTTTTTTTAATGTCTCCTACCAGGAGCAAGTTGCCTGTCGAAGTTGCTGGTATAAAAATAAATTAACTTTGCCTGTGAAAGGTTCCCGGGTTTCAGCACCAATCCCGGTTCTATTTTCTTTAACGCTCGCTATGCTAACAGTAACGAGCAGAAAATATTCTATTTTCGGTTGAGCTCCTTTATGTAAAAAGATTGCGTACACAGCTGTAGAGCCTTTTCTACTGGAATCCAGAAGAAGGCCTAACCTGTCCGACATTTTCGCTACTCTTATCTTACCTTGGCCGCCCACCAAATGGGGGCGGTGGGGGATGGCAGCCTCATCCATGTGACATTCATTCCTATAGGACTGTTCACCAAAGATGCAATTAAGAACTCACTGCAGTCCTACTCTCACACTTTGTCTCTAGTTGGGTACAGACAGTAACCCATCTTCAAACATAGTCAGGTGCTTTCATCTTGAAAGCTGATGTAAAATCCCTTTGGAGGGTGACTGAGGACCCTCATTGTCCCTGGCTTGCGCTAACAAGCAGTGGAACAGTCGCCTCTGCTCATTGCAACTGCAAGCTGGTAAGGTGTATTTTTATTTTGTACTCCGTATTGTAAATGTCATAAGGCTGTTTTGCATGTTTATTGAACTATAATCTTCACTTAGTCATTATGAAAGCTACATAGAGTAAGTGTGTCAAACTCATTTTAGTTCAGGGGCCACATGGAAGAAAATCTATTGCCAAGTGGGCCGGATGGGTAAAATGATACATAACTATACACAATTGGCATTGATATTACGCAGATTTTCGTGATATGCGGGCCGTCCTTCAACTGTAAACCATTCGACTGTAAATGTATTGCAATATATTTAAAACATATATAAATATAAAAATCCTTTCCACTTTTTCATAAAATACATCTTTTGTATGGAACACACAAGAAAATGAACTAAAAATAAATCAATCAATAAATTCAATTACACACAAATATCTTGTGGAAGGAAAAAGTCCCAATCAAAATACAGTATGTGGTCTCAGAACTTCTTTTCAAGGAATCCAGTGAAGTGCAAAGAATTAAATTGAATACAGTTGGCTTCAAGTTACATTGAGGAATGCCAACTGTTTTAGACTTTTGGAAACACAAGTTTGGAATCTTGTTCTTTAGTTACCATTTGATTAAAAAACTTCAGTGGTCAGCAAGCTATTAGCTTATTTTCAAATGCATGAGCAAACAAAGGCAATGCATGTGCATTGAAAATAGGTCATAACTTGCCCATTTCACAACCGATTTTCATGTAGCTTACTTTTATGTCAACGCCAAAATTGTTTGATAATTGTGACATTCACGAAAGCAGTAATACTTTGCCCATATAAGCTTTAACATTGCCGTAGGCATGGTCATGTCATATACACCTATTTTGCATACCTATGGTTCCAGAATGCATTGTGTGGTCCAATACATTTAATTAATGAAGTTATAAAGACGTTAAGGCGGCACGGTAGTCGACTGGTTAGCACCCGGCCTCACAGTGCAGAGGTCCAGGGTTTAATTCCGGCTTCGGCCTTCCTGTGTGCAATTTGAATGTTCTCCCCGTGCCTGCGTGGATTTTCTCCAGGTACTCCGGTTTCCTCCCACATTCCAAAAACATGCACAGCAGGCTGAGTGGAATACTCTAAATTGTCCCTAGGTGTGACTGTGATCGCGAATGGTTGTTCGTCTATGTGTGCCTTGCGATTGGCTGGCAACCAACCAGTCCAGGGTGTCCCGCGCCTACTGCCTGAAAATGGCTGGGATAAGCTCCAGCCCACTACGTGACCCTTGTGAGGATAAGCAGATCAGAAAATGGATGGATGGATGTTTGATTTAAGTTAATAATGGTGTAGTGGTACACATGCCTTACTTGTGCACGGGCAGCGTGGGATCGTTTCCCACTCAGTAAGTGTGAATGGTTGTTTGTCTCTACGTGCTGTGCGACTCACAATGGTAGATGTAGCTGCACATCTCGGAATGACAGACACTGCAGCACTGATTTACCTTACAGATGGAACTTGAACTGCACAAAAGACGTTGATCCCCCCCCCCCCCACCGCCCTTCCCCCCACCTTGTAGCATCCACCAAGTTTCATAAGCATTCGGCTAAAGACAAAGTCAGGTCAATTAAGAGAAATCCGTTCTGATGGCGTGTCAACTGAAGATGAGGAGCAGTCATTCCTTCAAGCTCTTGTGTCTACTGGAAATCAGACTCCAAGACTTAGCACATTTCATGACCCAACAATCAGTTGGATAAATAGCAAATGGTAAATATTCCACAAAATTTGTTGTGTTGCCAACTTATCACAACTCCTTACCGTTTCTCTGCATGCAAACATCACAAATTACATGTTTGTAGTTGAATTAGCACCACACATGACACCTCCTTACACGCTGCCAAAATGCCATTATACAGTCAGACTTATTGAGTCACTGAGCAGTGTGGCGCGCCACTCTGTTTACCTGTTATGTGTTTACCCAAGAGGGAGAAGTAGTACTAGTTCGTTATTTCGGTGTCCACCATGTTTCGAGTAATATGTCGTACATTCACGTTTGAATGACTGAAGTACCTAATGTATGAATTGATTTTGATTTGGGAATCATCATAAAAGCATAAAGATCTGGTATTGGAAGGATCAGCATTAATCTACAATATGACATGATTAAATGCAATACATTCTACTGTAATATAATATAAGAGCTTCACAGTTGACAGTTTGAATGTCTGCTCAGGCCCTCCTATGTAGTTTGCAGGTTTTCCAAGTTTTTAATTGTTTTCTCAACATGCTCCAGCTTCCTCCCACATTCCGAAAGATGCTTCTTTGGTTAATTGAAGATTCTAAATTATCTGTCGGTGTGAATGTGAATCCATATATGCCTGCAATTGACCGGTACCCAGTCCAGGTTGTATCCGGCCTCTCGCCTGAAATCAGCTTTGCTGACTCAAGACTCTATTGAGGACATGCATGATGTGCGAATTGATAATTTAAGAGAAGAGATGAGCATCATGCGATGTCACATATTACTTCTAGATTCTCAAAACTTTGAATTGTTGTGACAAATTAGCCATGCTAAAATTTGCATATCTTTTTTCCATTGAGTTGCTCTGATGCTGTAATTTAATCTCAAGTGTCAAATTGGCTTGATCTGTGAGTTAATTAAATGAATTTGCAAGTCACGCTGTATTCATCATTATTCAAGTTGCACTTGGGCAGCAGCACTTTTATCAATTCTTGGCTGGTTGCCGTGTGTGTATAGGGTCATAGACGCGGGTGTATTTACAGCTGAATGCATACAGTATCCGGTCAGTGGTCGTACGCTCGTCTCGAAACGGTTTAGACATCCAGAAAAAAAATGAATCTGTGTGAGAGCGCTCGTTTGTGACACACCGAAAATATGTAAATGCTTTTAGATGAGTTCCTCACACCGGTGGGATATTTATTCCTGTGTCTGCTTCTGGTTAAGTTGGGACAGGGGAATCATCTGGATACAGATACATTTTCTTAAGGAGATGTATAGTTTAATTGAGGGATTATATTCCACTGTTATTATGATTTATGCAATATTAATTCAGCTAAAAATGGGGAGCACATAGAGGACATTTTGGTATAATCGAGGAAATTATACTCTGAAAAAGAACTTATTTGGTCCCAGTCTAAACAGAGTAAAATTTACACTTCAAAGACCATAAAATATCCAAAGTAAATTTTACTTAAAAGAGTGGATTAATTGTACTCCAAATAAATTAAAATCAACCTTTATCTGAAAAGAACACAAGTTTTTTTATCTGAAAAGAACCCACATTTTCCTCTGATGAGTGTAGGGCTGTGGTGTCAAACACACGGCCCGCGGGCCGGAACCGGCCCCCAAGGGGGTTCGATCAGGCCCGCAGGATCATTTAAAAGTGAACAAAAAATGTAGAAAAGACAGGGAATGAATATTTTTAATATGGTGCAGTTCTTGGAGTATCCGCTAGAGGACACGCTGTTTTGATCAGAGTATAAGACAACATTGTTTTGATCAGAGAAGAAGACCACAGCAGCCTCAGTCTCACTGAGACAGACCCAACACAGCAGACGCTATCAAGGACATGTGACTACTTTATTCTTTACACATTTAATAGCACTCTCCTTAGGTTGTAAGGTGTAGGCAGGGATTACATTTAGATTTTATATGCACGTGTAAATGGTTTAAACATTCCTTTCTTTATAAATCTTGTTTAATCATAAATGCATGACTATATTTTTCAATACCAATTATTTGTTTTGTGCCTTTGTACAATCAGGGGGATCAGTTGCAATGCATATATGTGAATGATAAAAGTAAATTGCACATTTGTCTAAGGAAATCCAAGGTGCTTCATGAAATGTTTTGTAAAATATATGTTCATTAAATGTCAACATTTTCCTAATGTTCTTATGCTTCTTTAGACCAAAACAAAGGAAAGATATGTTATGGTGGTTATTTATAGCAGAGTATGGTATAATTTTAATGGTCCGGCCCACTTGACATCTACCGAGGCCGTATGTGGCCCACAATGTGAAATGAGTTTGACACCGCTGGTGTAGGGGGTGCGGACTCATATACTCTGAGTGAAGCGATCGTTTCTGAAGATTTACCTCGCTCTAGTGGCCAAGGGAGGCAATTGAACTCTAAAATGTTTTAGATGCAGCTCCATTTACTGTGTATCTTATTCTTGCAGCTTTATCAGAACTGGAAACATTCAAACCTAGGCTATGCACCTATGTCCGGATGATTGCAAGATGTGAATGTGCTCTATCATCTCCCCGGCGTTACCCCTTTGAAAGTTTCATTTAAATCTGATAACTGAGCAGATGAATTTTAAACTTTAACAGATGTACTGTAGTCATCCTAACCTGTTCTTGAGCTTCCCTTTCTCCTACTGTACCTTATTCTACTTCCTACCCTCCCCATTATAGGCCCTCTCCCCCTCCCCTTACTATGCACTTCCCTCCCACTTTCTCCCTCTGACTCTAAACAGCACTCATTCTCGGCTCTCCCTTCACTTCCCGCTCCAACATGTTGGCAGGAGGAGGCGGAGGAGGATGCTGCGCTCAACCCTTGGCGCGTTCTTGCCACCTCTTGGGCCAGCGCACGGTGCCTCTGACTCAGAGCCACCTTTCACTTGTATCAGCCTGAAGGAATTAAGAAGGGAGAGGGGTGGCCAGGTCCCCCAGGTTCCACGGGACATCAGGAGCACCCATATCAGGATCCCCAGGAGGAGCAGCAGCAGGAGGAAAGTAGAGCACAGCAACTGTCCCTCATCGGTAGTGGAAAGTATTACCTCAGACGCCAGCGCCTCCTCCAGTTTCCCTGACACTTCTCCCTTTTCGGCTCCAAGATCCATGTGGCAAGAGGCAATAAGGAGGAAGCGGTACCTCCTGGACCGGGCTGGTGAGGGGGGCAAGGGAGGTCAGGAGAGGAGGAATAGATCCCAGGACTGGTTGTATGAGTCGTACTACTGTATGAGCCAGCAGCATCCACTCATTGTGTTCCTGCTGCTTATAGTGATGGGAGCATGCCTGGCTCTGCTGGCTGTCTTCTTTGCATCAGGACTGGTAAGTTCTACATTCATGCATGTATTATGCAAATGTCACAGAACGTAAAGTCATCACTTTCAATTTGGCGTAACAACACTTATCAATATATAGGATATTTGGGGTATTCCTACCAAGTTTAAACTGTGTTGATGGGAGAATGTTCACACATGGGTGCACAGACAATTAAAAACAAAAACAGTATCTTCAAGACAAAGGTTACCAACAGGGGCACACACGTCACAAAAACACAAAACCGCTTCCAGTTGCTCCCTTATACACATGTGCCAAAAAGCTTATACAAAGGCACATCCCCAGCATGCAGTCTACATGGCAGCACTAATGTGAAGAGAGGGTTAGATAAAAGCCAGGGGGGAATAAGGGGCTTGGTTATTGTTTGAGCTCACGGTTGACCGAACTACAGAAAGGAAGAGGTGCTTTTTAGCTCTCAATATTTTGACATGATTATCTCTGCTTGGAAAGGCTGACAAATTCAATGCAGTGAAGAAGCAAAGACCCCCTGGGAAATATAAAGGGACAAAGTCTAAAGGTATCAAGTATTTTGTCTATTTTCACTGAATATGAAATGCAGGTGCATTGATAAGAACTGGGAACTTGTCAGACTTTTCCTCAACATTATGTCTCTTTGCAGGATAGTTGTTAACACAAAACACCAACACAAAGAACACCCATTTTTAAAAAAAATAAACCTACTTTAGGACGATTGGGTAAATGTTTGTTTCTTGCATTTTTTGCTCATTCTATCATTCATTGAAGTGACGCGAAATATCTTTATAATGACAATCAACAAATGACCAGCGGGCTTTCGCAAGGCAACTTAATGTGAAAAACATCTAAAGGGATGATATTACACTGTTTAAGAACACGTCTGTTTTTATATACCACAGTGCTTTTAAGGGAAGCATAATCTCATCGTTTGACATATTTTACCAATTGAGGGCCTCTCTCAGTCTATCCCTGATGAATCTGCTCAGATGGAGGGATTATTCTAATACAGTGAAAGGGCCTCACAGCACTGTCGCTGGGTATTGCAGATTTGCATATCCAAACATTCCAAACATCATCCAAACACTATATCAACTTTGGGGAAATGATTTGCATGGTTTGCCAAATGCAAACAGATGTTGACATCAGCAACTTCCATTTCTGATGATATGCATCTAACATTTGCCTCATCCATTACAGTGTGTCTGATTAGTCAGCAATTGCCTACTGATGCGGACAGGCAAAAACGACACAAACACTATTTGGAAGGACATTTTTGAATGGTGGCTGAATGCTTTTTAACATTTCTTCAGATGTTTGTCGTTGGTCATTAATAGACTTGTGGTTTTGCCCATGATGACATATTCAGGTGGGGAAGCGTCTGACTCAGCACTTCAGCCACAATTGGTGTGGTGACTAATATGTCTGACGCTGCTGGCATCACATAGAAATGTGCTGGTAAAATGCGATGTGTTTTGTAAATTAAGCAGAGGCTAAAGGTTGAATTGTAACAAGGAAGTTGCGTAACTGAAATTTGTTAAATAAATATACCACAAAGAAATTCCATTAACAATGGATTTCTGGCCTGAGATCATATAAGCATCTTGAGCCTTCCTGCCCTACATCCTGCCTTTTGGCTCTGGCTGGGTGCAAGATTGGCGTGACCTTTTTGCTCCACCCTCATTTCATTCTTCAACCTCCTCTATTTCTGTCCATTCTGTGCTTCTGTCATCTTTAACCTCCTCATATTTCTGTCTCTCTTCCATTTGTATCCTAACGCCACCCAACCCCTTCCTGCGAGCTGGATGACCTAAATCCTGTTCTGTTTTGGAGCTCAGCTCTGGGCGAGACCGACTCTCTCCGCAACTACACGCATCCTCTCCTGTCCCACTGCATTGCCTGCTTACAAGGGGAAAGACAGGGAAGATGGAAGCTGGGTTAGTGGAGGAAAAATCTAAATGCCTTGCAACAGATGGAAAAGCAAAGAGATGGAAGTATATGTGGCGACGACATGTAAAATATTAATTTCGCAGTGAGAACCTCTGAGGTTGAACAGAATCTGTTCCACATGGGGAAATAATGATCCGGGATCAAGTTTAACCATTATAAAACATTCAGACATTTATTTTTTTTAATATTCACAGTGGCAAATGTAAAAAAGAAGTTAAGCACTATTAATATTAAAATGTTGAAACAATATACACTCAGGGCAGTATATCTGTGCACGGTGCAAATCCGGTGTAGCAGGTGGTGCAACTGCCACAGACAGGCAGACCGTTTTGTTAATTTCGTGGATGAGTGCAGATCTGCAGGCGGGTGGGCTGCGCCACTGTGGGAGTGTTTCCAGCCGACTTAAGTCACTGCCAATCAGAGCAGCTCCTCTAATACTTTAAATGTAGCACAACACACAGTCTCAACTGAGACATATCTGTGTGGATTAGAGCAATCTGTGTGTACATTGCTATGCTCTGGCCAAGTTGTGGCAAGAGACAATGTGAATGGTTACTTAGAATCCGCTGGTGACAACTGCTGGTGACTTAAATGTGTCTGCAGAGCTCAGTATCTGTCTGGCTGCGCCCAAATAAATTCTGCAAAATCACGTTAGACCAGCAGTCTACCTTCCGCAGGATTTTGACATGGTCTGAGCAGGCTTTAGATTAGACTAAATTCATGCCACCAAATAGTCACTCTGTCTGGCACATCTCCAAGAACTTTATTGATCCTGCGCCGGAACACCAGGCTTGGCGGAGACCATTCAGCCAAATTGGCAAACACGCAGTTAGCCTTGTGCTCGTATGAATATCATTTGCGGCCGGCAGGTAGATGTGCTGTCTGCGAAAATGGAGCCCTCAGTTTTAAAGTCTTAGGTAACATGTTGAATGACACTTTTACACATAAGTACAAAAATGAACCAATTAGTTTCATTTAAAAACAGTAAGACACAATGGTCCAAATGCACAAAGAATGAACTGCGGCCGCTGATATCGCCTTTAATGCAATCATTTGCAGCTGTGTTAACTTCCGATTCACAAAAGCTATTGCGCTAATGGCATACCGATGCAAACAGCCCCACAATGTTTGACAGCTGAATGCAGTTTGCACCTGTTTCCCCCCTGATTGCGCACATCGCAAAGTGCTGCTTTGCGCCAAGAACACCGTGTTAAAACAATGGCAATTGAGGAGACACTCTTTCATAAATCACAAGTCACAACACGCCTCTTTAAAACAGCCTGCTCAATGTAATGCCATTTTGCTTTGCCTGTTTCTGTTGTTGTTTTTTTAATTTAAATGTATTTGGAAATGTTGAATATGTGAACAGTATTTCGGACAGAAAGGCTGTTTTATGGCCCGAAATTATTTTGTCAGGTAGGTGGGAGGGAAATGATGTAATTTATCATGACATGTACCTGGCGAGCGCTCTGACACATTGCTCAGATGTCGCAGGTCGTAAAAAGTGGCTTCCACAGAAGAGCGCTAAGTTTACACCAGCCTTTTCGATGTGTATTAGCGCTGGCGTTCGACAATTATACGTTGTTTATCAATGAGGCTCATTTGTATCGCGGTGTGTAATTCCTCCGCGCCGAGACGCGTTCTGCTTGATATCTCAGTGAGTGAAGCATTTTACCATCTGCGCGTCCTTTGTGAATTGTTTGCTCCATATTTACTGATTTGCTCCACATAAAAGGCACGCAATCCTTTCGTGAATTCGACCCTACACGTTCAAGATTCCAGCTCTTTTCTTGTAGCATTCTCTTAACACCCCTTGTTGAGGATTGATCTTCTTTAAGTGATCGCAAAAAGTCAGAAAAGTAAAAGGCACACACACACACACACGCACACACGCACAGACATGTTCAGTAATGAATTTTGATTTAAATCTGAATTATAAAACCCAAGGGCCATTCCACACTACAGATTTTGCAATCCTAATTTTTAACCTGCAAATGGACTTTAATTTACTCATCGGGAATTAAATAATGCCGGACAAAGCTTTGCCTTCATGTGTGGTGTATACAGGCTCACTGGGGATCATTGACATCCACAAAGTATCTCAGATGTCAGCAAAATGCATGTCTTCCCAAACAGAAAATGAAAAGTAGCGATCAACTCCCAGCCTGGATAAAAGGAGTCAATATTGTTTCTTTGAGAAGTGTTTCTCTACATATGGATGCAGCAGCAGACACTGACACATTGGGATCATGATCAATAGCAGGGGCCAATTGAGGCCGACCATCCATTTTTCAGCGGACTGCGACATGCCCCCCCCCCCCCAAAGATAACTAAAAGATGCCATTTGACATCGGCCGCAAGATTAGTTCAAAAAGGTGAAGGTGGGCAGAGTGAGAAGGGAGGTTATTATACATTTTATTTTATTTTCATTTTATTTTCTTGTCAGAAAAATCTTAGAAACAGAAAAGCAGCTTCAAATCCTGAATGTATGTCCTGTATGTTCAACGTCTGTTGTTATACCTGATGTGCCCTCAGTTAAAAAAACATTCATCAGCAAAGTCCCGTACAGATGGCTGATTTACAGCATCCATTTATACTATTCAGTTTTAAAGCTGTTTTTGCACTATAAATCTGATACATCAAATGAGGTACAATTAGGTAGGTCGAGGAATATAGTCGGGAACGCATCTGCTTTGGTACATACACGATGCAGACCACAAACATCTCCATCCAGATTACTACAGTATAGTCTACATTTAAAAAAAGAAACCAACACAAGTTCTTTGTCCTGGTGAAATCTTGCAAAAGAAATATTAGTGCGATGTAAAGGTAATTCATTTGATATGGATGAATAAATATATTTTAAGTAAGATTACTGGGGGTACTTTTTTCATCTCGTTTAGCCTTTTGAATTCATATTTATTTTTTACACACATTTTGGACAGATTGTGTTCATCGAGATGAAAGTGAAGTGTCTTTTATTTCATGTTATTCGGTGCCATAAATTACACTGAGCAAATCCGATAGTACTGACGCACTTATTTCCCTTGAAGGGCTATTTGGTGCCTCAGAGAGTGACTCACACCCTCCTGCTTGTTTGTTTAGTTGGAAAATTGAAGAAGGAATCAAGAAGTGAGGCTTAGTACTCTGTTGTCTCATGTCCCCTTCAGACGTGTCAATTTTCTACATAAATGTATAAATAAAAATCTAAAGTGCTGTTTTGTTCTGTTTCACTCAAGCAAAGCTGAATCGTCCAAAGATGTTTAAAATTTTAGACAATTTATAAACAGTTACATCAATTTTCACCTCTCTTAACCTTTGTCACAACTGGTTTTAGAGAGTGTGTTAGTGGTTTAAATGTTTGTTCATTTCTAGATTACAAAACACCATTTAGCCACATGATTGGCAAAATGTAATTTCTACCTGTACACATTTGAGCAAAATACCAAACTAAAGGAAACTCCTCAAATGCGCACTTTGCTCTAGACTTGCGCTCATAATGAAAACAGGGCTTTTAATGTCTCTTATGTAACCATTCAGATTCCGTAAACACTTCACATCGATTCAAGACTCTCAGGAAAAAAAAGTGAACGTTTTTTTTTTTTTGTTGTTGTTGTTTTGTTTTTTTGCACTGCTTAATGCTAATTTAGTCATGGTGTTGTTGTCTAATGCATGTCATTCCTGTTCCAGAACGTCGAGGACCATGTGGCCTTTGTAATCACAGTGCCCACAGCGTTGGCGATCTTCCTGGCTGTATTTGTTTTGGTCTGCATTGAATCCATTTTCAAGAAACTTCTTCGGGTGTTCTCCCTTGTCATCTGGGCCTGCTTGGCTGCTATGGGTTACCTCTTTATGTTTTCCGGTGGGATCGTGTGTCCATGGGACCAGGTAAGCCCAAGAAAAATATTTTGTGGTCAATTTATTTCTTGTGTAAAAGCATGTGAAGCGTTCGGTTATTTATTCATAGATGGTATAAATAACTAAACATAGCTGTCTGGTTTGAAAATGAGGCCAACTTGCAAGTGCCTTAAACTTGAATTCTTTGGAATACCCTGCAGGGAAAATTCTTGGTTGCCGACAGCTCTCTTGTGAAGAGGTTTTAGAAAAGTGAGCCTACCTCTCACATGATTTCCTAATTCGGTATTTCAGTACTATCTTCTATCATGCTTTGTAATGTTCTTCTCTATACATTGATTACATAGGAGTATCCCCCCCTCTTGAATGCTTAGACTACAGAAACTACGTCCTATTTTATTTTTCAGTCCTGTATTTTTAGGTAAGATATATTCTTTCTTCGCAATTTAAATTGAAATCTGTTGATCAACAATCACCAAACCAGTCAGATTTGGAGTTGAAATCTTGAGGGCCATTTTGACATTTGATGATGCTTACATTGCTTTTACATGACTCGTGACTGAAAGGTTAGTGGGCATCGTTGTCAGAGCTTGCCGAACGCATCTGTCGTTAGACTGCATGAAGGTTAAAACTCGGAAAGAAGTTTAAGGAGGTGAAAGAACTGACTAAGGCTCTTGCTAGGATAATGTGTTCATGATCTAGTCATGATTTTACTGCTTCTCCATCATTTGTTTCATTGTATCTGCGGTGGTATTATGGCTGTTAAAGTCACCGATACAGTATCGGGGCTCACTTCATTGGCATTGCGACACATATCTGGCCAGGTAAATGGAGTAGGAGGTGGTTTGTACACTGAGGTGATGATAAGGTGCTTGGTGCTCACCTAGAGTATTTTTAAATCTCTATTGGAGAAGTCACTGCTAGCCTTGATCACCGACTTGTTGCATGTGTTGCTCGCATTTCTATGTACCGGACTCAGGCGATGGATGACAGGGGCAAGGCCTGTTATTTTAGGGAGGATGCGGTCCTTGTGTGTCTCTTGGAGGCAGATGATATCACCGTTTAAGCTGGCTTTGATTTCTGATTTTGCTTCATCACTGAGGCTGAGCACTCTGAACTTTTTCAAAGTGATCTCCCAAGGCCAAGGGTGTATCCTTTTACCACCTCTGATTATTGGGCACAGTTGTGGTGTTGTAGCAATTGGTCTCCAAAGATTGACAGGGATACCACATGAAGGTTTGCTACTTCCACCCGTCAATAACATTTTCTCCATGCAGACAATCGATAAGCACGGGAACAAAACCTCTGGCATGGCGGTGCATGACCAGACATGAAAAGTCTCTATCAACTTGTGAACAAAAACTTGTGAGTGTATCATCATTGTTACAAATTAGGTGGTTAAGCATCACTGCCAAATATTCCAGACCCAATCTGGCATATTTACGTGCACATTTTAAATAGACATACCGTATTTTCCGCACTATAAGGCGCTTCGGAGTATAAGGCGTACCTTCACTGAATGGCTAATTTTAAATCTGTTTTCATATATAGGGCGCACCGCATTATAAGGCACATAGAATAGAAGCTACAATACTGGCTGTGCTTGCGTTTGCAACCACTAGATGGAGCTACGCTAAAGGTAATACAATACAATAGAGCTTTATTTATAAAGAGATTTCACAACTGCTGCAACTTCAACATTGCGCTTTACAAATCATTTAAAATACTACGTCCAAGAAATCAGAATATTGATCCATATATAGGGTGCATCGGATTATAAGGTGCACTGTTGGCTTTTGAGAAAATGGAATGCTTTTTAAGTGCGCCTTATAGTGCGGAAAGTATGGTACGTATTTTTTTAAAAGAACAATATGTGGAAAGTATGGTACGTATTTTTTTAAAAGAACAATATGTTGAAAATAGGGCGGCCCGACGGTCCAGTGGTTAGCGCGTTGACCTCAAAATGCAGAGGTCGTGGGTTCGATCCCAGCTCCAGCCTTCCGGTGTGAAGTTTGCGCTCCCTGGGCCTGCGTGGGTTTCTCCGGGTACTCCCACATTCCAAAAACATGCACACTCAAAAAAAAGGTGTGAGTGTGAGCGCGGATGGTTGTTCATCTCTGTGTGCCCTGCGATTGGCTGGCAACCGGTTCAGGGTATCCCACGCCTACTGCCCGAAGATGGCTGGGATTATAGGCTCCAGAAGATAGGCTCCAGCATTCACCCCCCCCCCACCCCCCTCCTCAAACCCTTGTGAGGAAAAGCAGATCGGAAAATGGATGGATGGATGGATGTTGAAAATATTGGTCAGATAATTCACATACTGTTAATTTTGCACTGATCATTCTTTATTTATGTATTTAATTATTATTATTATTTTTAAATGGATTATATTGTTTCTCTGGCTACAGTGCATTTGGATGTGTCAGGATCAAAACCCTGTCTCTTATCTATACACTGGGAGATGTATTGATGAAACTTGCAGAAAACAGTGAATGCTGTGGTTACAGTACAAGTAACACTCATTCACCAGTACTGATGAATACAGATGTCTAATGTGGACTCATTTGTCACAAAGCAGCATTTTGAGGTGCACTGATTCGCACGTCATTCTATTCATTCTTCTCCCACTCACTGAAAATATCAGCCCATTATGCCATCAGTGCACTCCGACTGCAGCATCCACGTTAATTAACATTTATCTGACGAGATTGGCTTGTTGACTCACACTCCTGACTTGACATCCATTACTCCCTCGACATGTATTTTCTTACTTTTGAACATTTTCAAAGAAGGGAACAAATGCAAATGTTACTTTTCAACAATCATTTTTTTTGTGGTTAATGTTCAGTGACAAAATCATGTTTTTCAAACACAGTCCTCGAAATTTGCACAAATGTGAATGCACAGCACCAAAAGGCGTGCACCAGTATCTCTGACATTTTCATATTTTGAAAATACAATTTATGGCAGACATGGTCTGCTGTCAAAATAACAATGCTATTTAGGTTGATAACAAACTGCCCTATCAGTACAGGGACCTGCCAGTTAAGATAACGATAGTAGAGGCTCAAAGTTGCATTTCCTATTCTCAGTAAGACAGGGTTGGTTTGGATACATTTCAGTCTCCTTTTCTCAACCTGAAATCAATTGAATGCTTATCCACTCCCCACAAAGCCCCCTCTGTTTGCTAATGCTAGGGAGAAGGGCTTATCTGTGTGGTCCAGCTTCTACCCCTCACTGAGAAATGTCTGTGCCCACCCTCATCTGCTTCCCATCTATCATCCTCCCTGTCCCTCATGCAGGAACCTGTGTGTGTATATAAGTCCAAACTTTTTCATTTAGTGTTCTGCTAGCATTGTGAGCACAACTCCAAACTTTGTGCAGGGAAAATCAAGATGCTCATCCGCAAAAATAAAAAAATAAAAAAATTTAAAAATCTATCCACCCATCCATTTTCTAATCCGTTTATCCTCACAAGGGTCGCAGGCATGCTGGAGCCTATCCCAGCTGTCATCGGGCAGTGGGTGGGGTACACCCTGGACTAGTTGCCAGCCGGTCGCAGGGCACCATTGACAAACAACCATTCACGCTCATAATCACATCAAGGGACAATTTAGAGTGTTCAACAAACACACTGTGCACGTTTTGGGAATGTGGGAGGAAACCAGAGAATCACTTGCCTTCAAATATACACCATGCAGAGCTTGTGTTCAAAGGCTTTGAAGTTAATGACCAAAACAATGCGTGACTTGAGGTACCAATATTTAGAAGTAAACTCATTGACTCATTGAAAAAAATCAAGCCCTGCCAACACTTTGAAAGATCCCATTTTGGAACGGAGAAAATGTTGTGTGGAGCATGAATTGGAACTGAGAATATGTTGAGTGGAAGCATGAAATTGCCGGCAGGGAGGCTACAACAAAGGCTGTATGATGCAAGTTATGGGGATATAGAGAAATGTGCAGTAATGAAAATGTTTTTAAAAACTATCTTTTCATGTACTCATTTACACTGCACGTTTGCCTCTGCTGTTAATTTGGAAGTGTTGTGTGTGTGTGTGTGTGTGTGTGTGTGTGTGTGTGTGTGTGTGTGTTTGTGTGTGTGTGTGTGCGTGCGAGCGTGCGTGCGTGCATACTTAACTGCCTTGAGCACCATGAAGGTGCTAGTGCTGCATAAATTCATCCCATTTAGCAGTATAGCCCAGTCTGATTTGAGATGGCTCAAACTAAGCACCTATTGTGTATTTTTTAATGTAATGGTGTTTAGTATGCGATTAAAGTGATTCTTTTGCGCCGGATGAAGTATCAGATAGATGTACATTGCACATGCTTGCATTGCAAATCAAGCCTTGAAGCGGATCGCAGAGAGACTGGACTAAAAGCTTGATATAATCGGACACCCCATCTCCATAATTTGTTTTATGAACCCACTGTGGTATTGAGGATTTGATTCATGGGCTGGTAGCAGCATCGTTGCCTGGATCTTGAAAAACGCCTTGACGACATAATTGTCAGTGCGAGGGTCCTTATGTGCTTGCCTGAGCCACACTGAAGGAAGATTCTCACAATTTCATTGCTATGTCGACCGAACCTTGGATTGTAGGAAACATAGGCAGGTATCTTTAACCCGGCCTCCCTTCCATTATCGACCACTTTCTTGATCCAGTTAGTGGCAATTGGATATCTGATGGTACTTGTAGGATAACAAACATTACATCTGAAGCAAATTACATATTCTGTGGTGCCAGATGATATTTGGAAGCAACAGTCACTGCCCTTTTTATGCATTGTGAAGTGAGTTAATGCATGTCTTTGTTGAACATTGGAAATGCCATGCATTCGTTTGACTTAGCATATTTTCATTTATAGTCATCAGTTGTTCGGTTGTCTTCTTGCTTTTATTTAACAGCAACTTGCAATGCTCGTTTTATTTTTCCACTGTAGTATTTCAAGCTTTTCTGTCTTTATGATACAAGAAAAGCCTTTGCTTTTCTGCAGAAAATACCACAGCCATTCACTCAACCAATTCAGGGCGATGTTGACCTAGAATCAAGACGACAGAAAGGAGTGCTGTGTCCTCCTACCCCTCCTCCTATTAATCACATGAGTTCTTGCCTTGACCTTAAAGTCACTACCTTTGTTAAGTTTTTTTTTCTCTCTTCCCTTGTCTGTATTTCACCAATTCTACCAAGATTCTAAATGGTCACTTGACACTATTCTGTTTTTTTTTTTCCATTGTCGTGACATTCTGCATGCAATGGTCAGATAGTCAACTTGTCAAGAGCAGCATCCTGTAGGTGAATTAGCTTGCTATTCTTTCCCTAAATTTACTTAAAAGACCCATGTCAATGTCAAAATAGAATAAGTACATTAAAAAAGCAGTACCCAAACTTCATTTACTGCAGCTTTAACCAATTAGGTCTTTGTTACCTCGGTTACAGTAAGATTTATTTTCTTTTAATATAAAAAAAAAAAAAAAGCTGTTGTTTAATTCACAAAATACTCAATATAATTTCATCAAGATGTTGCTCGAAATCAAATCATCTGGATCCAGATATAGTTTTTAAGTTCACTATACATCTGCTTAACAAATGTATCTGGATGCGGATGATTTCATTTTGTGCAAACACTTGCCGTAATAAGATTGAGTAAATTCAAGACACAATTTTTTTCTGGTGTAGGCAGTTTGACAATGTTCCCTTTGCAGTGAAAAAAAAACAGCATTGTCAGTTTTTGACAAAGAAAGGAAAGTTATCATTGCCATCCATGAGGACATATTATGGTCCCATTGGTATGGCATCCATCTATCCATTTTCGGATCCACTTATGCCTCACAAGGGTCGCGGGGCGTGCTGGAGTCTATCCCAGCTGTCTTTGGAGAGTAAGTGGGGGCCGCCCTGGACCGGTTGCCAGCCAATCGCAGGGCACACATAGACACCAGGTATGAACTATGTTTTGTATTGTGTGTATAGTGTTGTGGATTTTTTTTTTTCTGAAATGAACAACCAGCGATTGGCTGCTGACCAGTCCTAGATGTTGGCTCCATCTCACCTATGACCCTGAAGACAAAGGACAGAGAAAACACATGGATGAATATGTATTGACATGATGTCATGGTGAAATTTGTTTCATTTTCAGTTTATCCGCACCTCTTTCCCTCACTTCACATCAATCTGGCCGGCCATAACCAGAGAAAGGTTAACTGTCACCTCACTGCATCCCGAGAGAACACTGACCTCTTTGTCACATGCACGCCAGCAGATGAGCTGCCTCAACCGTGCACCAGGAGGGAGTATTAAAGAGTACTGCAATGAGTGTGTCCGGAGCTCCACTAATGTAAAAATGCAAAGCACTCGCCATGCTACATTAGAGGTGCCAGGTTTGAGGTAAAAGTGCTGACTGTCCCCTTTCCATCAGCCTACAGTCAAGGGAGGTTAGGGAAGCTATCAGAGCTGGTGGTGTTTATATGGGCCAGCTTATGATGTGCACAACAGTGAAACACTTAATGGCACACATGTACTGTAGATGTTTATTTTCTTTTTGATGCTACACTGTGGGGGTTTCTTGGACAAAATGTTGCCAAAGATTCATTGGAAGAATGACTTGTCTTTTGTTTGGGATTTTTTTTGGGCCTCATTTTGATTGCTACACGTGCTGTACAAGCCTTTGCATTCAAGGTTAGCCTGAAACATTTCTCATGAGCCATGTATATATTCACTAGGGATAAATACAGAAATCGTGATACCTCTGTTGTCAGATCTTAATGCTCTCACAATATTGACGATATTAATACTTTTAGTACAAAACCACAATGTAGAAGATGTAGCATTTATGATGAGGCAGAGACTGAGGTAGAAGAAGCGAGCACAGTGACGTTCCTTGGGTGCTGCAGGAAGGTACAGATGGAGACAATGTGGAGCTTTAAGTAGCACTCAGCAACATTGCTGTTGGAGCTATTAATATTATTATGTCAGGTTATTAAATAAGTACAGAAATAAATACATGCTTCAACTAATAGCGGCATGAGTTCAACTCATAGCCGCATTAGTTCTACTTGGAGAGTATAGGTGTCACTGAAATAATTGTGCATAGCGAAAAAAAAAAAAGCATAGCTTTATTTAAATCAGCCTTTCTTAAGAAGCGGCCCGGTGATCCAGTGGTTAGTGCATCAACCTCACAGTGTAGAGGTACAGGGTTCAATTCCAGCTCTGGCCTCCCTGTGTGGAGTTTGCATCTTCTCTCCGGGCCTGCATGGGTTTTCTCCGGGTACTCCGGTTTCCTCCCACATTCCAAAAGCATGCATGGCAGGCTGATTGAACACTTTAAATTGTCCCTAGGTGTGAGTGTGAGTGTGGATGGTTGTTCCTCTATGTGCCCTGTGATTGGCTGGCAACTGGTTCAGGGTGTGCCCCGCCTACTTCCCGAAGATGGCTGGGATAAGCTCCAGCAACCCCCGTGACCTTTGTGAGGATAAGTGGATCAGAAAATGGATGGATGGATGGTTTCCTTAAGAATCGGTCATTTAAAGTGTGTTACGTGTCATTAAATTACACAGAGAAACTACGATAAAACAGCCATGGTGAATTTAGAAAAATATCGCCAAACTCAAAAGATGTATAAAAATAACTACAATTTTATCTATAAAAATATTATTTATTGTTTGCATTCAACTAATTTGCTTTCCCTTTGAAATGAATATTTCATAACGATGTATAATGTATTTCTCCACAGGTATCTTTCTTTTTATTTATTGTTTTTGTGGTTTACACGATGCTGCCATTCTCCATGCGGGATGCCATCATCGCTAGTGTTCTCACCTCTGCCTCGCACACCGCTGTGTTGAGTGTCTGCCTGTCCACCACAGCTGATCACATGGAACCTGTCGTATGGCAGGTAAGGCTTACAGTCATGGAGACATTTCAGCCAGGTCTTGCAGGAATAATAGGATTCACTAATTCAATTCAACTGAAGTTGGAATGAACCTTGATTTGTTTTTGTTTTGGAGCCACTGGCATTTTCTCACATTAATGACAAGGTCACACCATGAAGGTCATATCACCTCATATATGTTTCATTTTCCAAATGCAACTTTAAATGTCTTTTAATTCAGATGTTGTCATTTGCACCTCACCGGCATCGGGCCAAAGCGTCCTGTTACTATTTGGTACATTTATTTCTTTTCACACAAATGGTTACTGTTGTTCTTGCACCACGTGTGTTTGTTCATTTTTTTTTTTTACATTCTTGGCCAAACTAAAGTGTTGAAATGTCTATCGCTCTTTGTCGACGCAATCTTAATGTTTGACCAAACTTGCCGTTTTTTTGGTGTCATGAAAAGTGATGATTTTGGAGATACAGGTACAAAGATTCCACCCGACACCAGTGACATGATTTCAATGATTGTATCTAGTTTCTTAGTACACAACACTTGTCTTGTAAGCAAATGATGGTGATGTTTCATCTAAAACTGAAAAAAAGAAAAGAGAAGTGTGATTCTGAATGTGAACAGCACATGCTGTGAATCACAGGCAAAGTCCACATTTTAGTCCACAGTTGCACATTGTACATTTTCATTTTGCAGGTCAATTGCATTTATACTAAGCAGATTGAGATAAGCTTGACATGTCCCAATAACACCAAATGTTTTCTCCAGCTTGTCCTAAAAACACAAAATGAAAGCCCTTCAATAGATTTTGCTTGGCGGTAGTCCTTCGCTGGCAGAGACACTTGCAGGTACTCACACTTGGAGTCCATAGAGAGCGGTACGTTTTAATTAACTTGAAAGTGTGATAACTTAAATCTTTCAGATCGAAGCTCACTAAGGTCAACGTATGAAGTTCTTGAAATTTGTGTTCATTGTCTCACCAGATTACCGGAGGGCATTAACACTACCACGATAACTTTGCACTGCTCATTGAATTTAATTGCGATGGTCCATTTAAGACAATACTTTGGTCTGTTTTATTGAACAAAGGAAAATGTTATCATAGGTCCGTCTATCATTTTGAAAACGATCGTTCTGCTTTTACATGCATTGGATGTATTGAATCGGAATGCGGTCAAATCTTTTGTGGGTCCAGTATGACGAGTGCCAGTAATTGCACAGCTAAAGTCAGCATTTGACAAACATCACTAGATTTTAACGGGAAATTATAAAAGTTAAGTAATGTACTTCTAGCTATATGCTAAATTCAAAGTGGACTAACATGAGTGTCCATGTTAGCTCTGTGCAACGTGCACAAATCCTCTCTGAAAAGCACAGGCATGATTTTGCTGGCTAGATTATAGCATAATGACTTTAGCAGTCTGTGCGTTGTGATCCTTTCATCCCTGTTTTTTCCTCCAATGATCCCTATTGATCATCACATATCATTCATTCATTCATTTTCCGAACCGCTTAATCCTCACAAGGGTCGCGGTGGGTGCTGGAGCCTATCCCAGCTGTCTTTGGGGAGTAGGCGATCGGATGCCAGCCAATTGCACATCACATATGTTTTTTTTTAAAGTAAGATTTATTTAAATTTACAAAACAAACTCAATATTTTTCTCAAAAAAAGCTTCTTTAGTTGTGTGCCATTATATCACAATTTGACTACTATGTTTCGTGTTTTGATACAATTGTAAAGGACATTCAGTATAAAATAACAGCATTGTTAAAATGCTATACAACTGTCTCGATCATTTCCCAAATGAGGATCGTTTAAACAGAGCATAACTAAATCTTGAAGGAAAGAAACTTAAACAGATTCAATGATTTTAAGTTTCTTCAGCTGGATAATGCAGATAGAAATGAAATCTCAAACCAATTTATTGTGTGTGTTTATATTCGACAGAGATGGCACCAAACATATGGTAATTTATCGTTTTTGTTGTGAAACGATTTCAATTTTTAAGGTGACAGTGATAATCACGATGCTTGATAATAATATCATGTTTTATAAGGGGAAGGCAATGTCAATATTTGGGCTCATCCAAAGATCGTTTCAAAAAAATTCAAATGCAGACTGCTCTTAAATCAATTTAAGGCAGCCAGCCATTAATTTAAAGCAGCCAGGTGGTTCTCAATGAATAACCAGAAGTTACAATGTATTGTTTGTGTCACACTCACATTTAGAAGGAATAAAGGTACTAAAGCAAGCAGTCCTTGTTAGGGGTGTTTGAGATTTTGTTCTCGCTCCAATGGAAACCTCAACATAAATTCGACAAGACTGGTTTCGCAACACAAAGGTGCCAAAGAGAGACCGTGACACGCTTTGTTGCTAAGACACTGGTGACCTATTTGAAAACGGAATTATTTCTTCTAAATCAAGATTTCATTGTGTTATACATAAATATCCTCCACAGAGTAGGGGGACAAGATTGTGATGTCATTCTTAATGTCATGGAGACATGTTCATGGGAACACTTGACGATGGTTAATCATCTCAGTAGCTGCCTCGGCTTTTACATATACATCATCAAAATCTCTGTTCTGCAGTTTCTTGATTCAGATTACCGAGAAACCATTCACGGAACTCTGAGTCATGTAAGAGCGAAAATTATTTCTTTAATGACATCATTTCCTGATTTATCTTTTAAGTAGAAACAGTACTGAGAGGAACGTGAGAGGGAAAATGGTTTTCCTGAAATCATCTCCTAAATTATGAGTTAAATGAACAAACTGTTGATAACACACGAGCTGTTAAAGGATACTGACATTTGCTTATGTCCTGGTTTTTTTTTTTTAGATTTTGGCCAATATCATCATTTTCATGTGTGGCAACATGGCAGGGGCGTACCACAAACACCTGATGGAGTTGGCTCTCAAACAGACTTATCAGGACACCTGCAACTGCATCAAATCCCCCATTAAACTGGAATTTGAAAAGAGACAGCAGGTAACATGGGGTCAATATGGCAATAGGTAAAGGGCCACTGAGCCCGCCAATGTGAGCCAGGCAAAAGAGCACACTACCCTTGCCTTGAGCTCATCTCACAGCTCCACTGAGGAAGAAAAAAAAAAAAATCTCACATATCACATCTCACTTTGAGTTTGCCGGTCGTCACATTTACTTGTTTCTCTCTGTGTTGTCTTTAGTCAGTTTGCCTCCTGATTTTTACTGTAAATAGGGAGCATGCTTGTCTTGATGATATCTTAGTGTGAGACCCCCCCTTTCATAATAATGTGCTGGAAATCCTTAGCCATGTGCATTTGCAAGGTTCTGTTAGGAAATCTTTTAATAAAGCGTTGTTTCCCCCAAGTACTCTTTTCTGTTGATGAAACATTTTCTTGCTGGATGTTTTCCATTTATGCACGTTCATTTATGCACAGTGCGGTGTATGTTGAGATGAAGGTGTTGAGTAAAGTTTGGACCGCTGCTGTGTGGAGCAATACATATTTGGTGTTTCATTTTTTTTTTTTTTTTTAGTTGGGCCACTGCTGGGCTCTTACATTTATAAATCCAGTACAGATACAAGTAGAGCTTCCTTTTTTTTTCTTTCTCTCGCCTGGCGAATCCATTTTGTGCTGTTACATATAAAGGTAAAATGGCCCCGATGAAGTGTTTCAACTTGTCCTCGGGGGGTTGTGGCTGCCTGCAACCAGTGTTTAGCCACAAAGCAGAGAGCAGACACACAGACACGCTTTTGTGCTGAGTGCACTCATAATAGATGCTGTTTGCTTGGTACTTTCATTCAAAGTATCAAATAGTGAGAGTGTATATTTGGAATCTGTAGTCCAAAGAGGGGCTGGGGGGGCATGTGAATCATCATAAATTCAAAGTTATGTTTGCTGAACACCCTCCATGGGGCAGTCCTTCATGTCGCAGTTAGTGATGATAACAATTGGGAGTGTGACATTGTCTTACACTTTTACTGCAGCTAGCCATGTAAGGATGACATTGGCACATTTTCTTTCATGAATCATGTTGTTGATTTGACGCACAATTTTGTTTGAACATTAAATCAGCCACTGGAGCAAGGTAATAACTGTGACCGCTTTTCTTTTTATTTTTTTGTTTATTTATTTATTTATTTTTTAAACCTTTGTCTTTTGCGGTTAAATCGACAGAAAAGAACCACTCACTCTAAATAAATATTGGAGAAATACATTCAGTCATCTTCACTTTTTTATCAAGTGATGTCATGAAATTAGTGTTTGATTTAATTGCTAACAAACTGTGGGCAATATATCAGAAAATTGTAATTCAATTTGTTTGACTCCCCATATTTTTATTTTGTCGTATCATCAGGAGCGTCTGCTGTTGTCGCTGCTGCCAGCACACATTGCCCGTGTGATGAAAGCAGAGATCATCCAGAGACTAAAAGGACCAAATTTTGGTCAGATAGAGAACACAAACAATTTTCACAACCTCTATGTTCAAAGACACACCAATGTCAGGCATGTATTATCTATTAGCAAAATGTTATGCAAAATTTTATTTTCATGCTCATTTTAAGGAGGCATTTCATAAACATTAAATTATATTATGTTTCTTTTTTTTTTTTTTGTAGCATACTGTATGCTGATATAGTTGGATTCACGCGCCTTGCCAGTGACTGCTCACCTGGCGAGCTGGTGCACATGCTGAATGAACTGTTTGGCAAATTTGACCAAATTGCCAAGGTAAAGAAGTCATCATTTAACTGTCAGTATCACGGAATAGCATACCCTTACTAAGTTAGTATCATTGGAGAATTGTGGAATACAGTCTGAAAACAATATGTACCTATAATTAAAAGATATAATTAGTCATTGGGCTCTGTGGATTTATCATGCAGTTTAATGATCCAGAGGGGGAGGCAAACCTTGATTAAAATGTTGACTATCATTTTATTACCGTGGCTTTTCACACACGAGAAATATGCACATTATTTGACAGTATCGTAGGTATGGACGTATGTATTGTGTTTGTGTATGTAAGTCTCTAAACTTCAGTGTGCAGATTTTCTTACCTTGTGCTTTATCTTTTGTACGCAGGAAAATGAATGTATGCGGATAAAAATCCTTGGTGACTGTTACTATTGTGTATCTGGCCTACCGGAGTCTTTACCAAATCACGCCAAGAACTGTGTCAAAATGGGCCTGGACATGTGTGAAGCAATCAAGTAAGCCAAATGACCATGTGTGGTGACTTCCATACTTGATCTCAACAATAACAACTAATAACTTCGAAGCAAACAATGGCTCAATCTGTACTTCATATTTTTGGAAAAATAAATTCACAAATTGTGACATCGAACATGCTTTGCCAAGTATTTGTTAGGAAAAGTCTTTTCTGCCATGAAAAAAAATCCCTGAACTCTCTCTCTGTCAGCACACTGGATCAGGGGATAGAAGAATTTTTTTTTTTGTAAAGTGTGAGGTACAAAGACTTGTGATACTCAATTAGATTTAAACTCTATGACATACATGAATGCTCAAATCAAAGAAGTACAGCACCCGCCATAATTCATGAGCAGTTAATTCAGGCAGCTTTGTCAAAAAATGATGATTGATAACAGCTTAACACTTTCTTGATTACGAGCTCTCCTAATTAAAAGATCCCGCCCACAATCTTGAGATAATCAATCATAATTATATCGACATGGTGAGCAATAGGTGGTGCACTAAGTCTTACACTTGCTTGTCTCTACGTGACTTATTTGCTGTCTTTTTCAACACAATGGTCAGTTTGGATGTTGATTTTGTTCCCTCCTCCACAGTTATAAGTGTGGTTTTGATGCATGACAGGAAAGTGCGCGATGCCACAGGGGTTGACATCAATATGCGTGTTGGCGTGCATTCAGGGAACGTTCTGTGTGGGGTCATCGGACTTCAGAAATGGCAGTATGATGTTTGGTCACATGATGTCACGCTGGCCAACCACATGGAAGCAGGAGGTGTGCCAGGGTGAGTTAAAATAGCCAACAACTAGCGTTGTCCCGAGCCAGTCGTGTGATTGGACATCAGAGTCAATCGTATACTTCCTAGCTGATTGGTATCGCAGTCGAAAAATATTTTTTAATCCTCTTAATTTCTGAATTCAAGCATAATAGTTATCACATTGGGATACATTATTTGAATTAAAAAAAAAAAACGATACATACAGTAAGACAATTTTGATATACTCTTTTCTTTGTATTGCTTTGCCGAGGTATCAGATCGACACTCGCTATCTCATTCTTGATAGTCTGCAAGAAAGGATAAGTGATTTTTTTTTTAGCTTTCCCAAATAACTGGGTCTGTTGGTAATTCCAGGCGAGTCCACATCACATCAGTGACACTAGAACACCTAAATTCAGCCTATAAAGTAGAAGATGGGGATGGGCAGGAGCGAGACCCTTATCTGAAGGAGCATGGAGTCATCACATATTTGGTTATCAACCCAAAGGTAATGGAGCATGTTGAATATTTGTTACGGATCTAATAAAAGGCGGGAAAATTCCACAAGATCTTTTTTATTTTTTTTAGGTGGAACGTCGTAGCCCGCAACATCACTACAGGCCCAGGCACACTGTGGACGGAGCCAAGATGAGAGCCTCCGTTAGGATGACCCGCTACCTGGAGTCTTGGGGGGCTGCCAAGCCTTTCGCCAACTTGCACCACAGGGACAGCATGACCAATGAGAATGGCAAGATCAACACAGCTGTGAGCAACTCTCTCGACGTTGACTAATTATTTGTTGCCATTAGAAATGATGGGTGGATCTCGCTGCCGTGTGCGATCTCTTCATTTCCATTTTCCTTCTAGGATGTGCCACTGGGACAGTATCATTTCCAGAGGAGATCTGAAAGGCAAGCTACTTGTTTCACTGTTCCAGGATCATTTCCTTTAGAAGGATTATCTCCGTCCCTCGACAGTGCAGTGCAGTGTCGGACGACAGGAGTTTTAATAACTCTTGACTTCTGCTGAAGGCTATGACATGCATGACTAATCTTGTGTCAAATTAAAATGTTCGGTCTCTTTTTGCTCTTGTTAAAAGGACAAAGTCTCAGAAGAAGCGGTTTGAGGAGGAACTTAATGAGAGGATGATCAGGACCTTTGATGGCATCAATTCACAAAAGTAAGGGTAATTGAATGACTATTTCAATTTATTTGAATATTCCTGATTTTGAAACTTATCCACGTTATGTCCCAATTGACTGGCCTTTGTGCTTCTAGGCAGTGGCTTAAATCCGAGGACATCCAAAGAATATCTTTGTTCTTTCACAATAAATCCCTGGAAAAGGAGGTAAGAAGTACTTTGTAGTCAAGGTTACAAGAGAACTGGAGAATAATTCTTGGTTATTGGTTATCTCACATTGTCCTTATGATGAAACAATGACTTCTGCTGTCAGAATGCATTTCGAATCATCCTTTGTTTTTAATATACACATAAATGTACAAAAACGTATTTTACTAAAACTCACCCTTTTTATCATTTTAGTACAGAACAACAATCTTGCCAGCCTTCAAATACTACGTCACCTGCGCCTGTCTTATCTTTTCCTGCATTTTCATTGTGCAGATACTCGTCTTACCAAAGTACGTGGATTTTGTGACACGAAGCATGACAGTGAATAAACAGTAGTGTGAAAAATAATATCATGACAAATGATCCTGATTTGCTATATACATGTTATTTTTTTTCAGGACAGCAGTGTTGGCAATATCTTTTGGGATGGCATTCTTTCTCCTTTCCATAATTGTCTTCATATGTTTCATTGGGCACTTCATGGTGAGTGACATGTTCTGTGTCAATCAATTCTTTCAACAGGGCCAATTGCACTCTCTCCCTTGTTTAATCTATTATTGGACTCTTTTGTACTTCACTTTCTGCTTGATAGCATAAATGCCTTGTTGTTGTTGATAATTTTTTTTTAGATCCAGTACAAATGCATCACAAGTTCAGTCTTGAAAAGCATAAGAGTATTTTTTTTCTTTCTTTTTAATTCATTTATTTTTTTGCACAATATGATCCTCCCCCTTTTGCCAATTTGTAAATAGTGTAGTGGGCAGCCCGGTGACAATAGTGGTTAGCAATAACACGTCTGCACCACTCTTCTGAAGTTCGAGTTTAAATGTCAGCTTGGCCTTCCTTGAAGAATTTGCACTTTTTCCTTAGCCTTGCGTGGCTTTTATCTGGGTACTGCGGCTTCCTCCTACATGGATGTAATGTTACTTGAAGATTCCAAAATTGTCCAGAGGTATGAATGTGAGGTTGTCTTTTTCTTTTAACTTTGTAAATGCGTTCTGTGATTGATTGGAAAAAAGGTTGTACCACGCCTCTCGCTGAACATCAGCTGAAGTAGACTGCACCTCACCGAAGACCCGAATAAACAAAACGTTTGGAAAATGGAATCATGAACAGTAGTGTAAAAAAATGAATTCATAGCATCTTTGAAATCCAGTGGTGGCTTGAAATATACATTTAATTTAATCCTGTGAGCTCACTCACAACTCAAAAATGCATCCAGCAATCCATTTTCACCACCCCTTATCCTGAACAAGATCTCGGGTGGGGGTGCTGCAGCATATCCCTGTTGACTTCGGGCAAAAGGCGGACGACAGCCTGAGCTGGTCGCCAATCGGTCACAGTGCACATATAGAGACAAACAACCATCCACATCCACATCCACACCCACACCGAGTTGGAACCAGGCTCACACTGCCTGCACGCAAGTCAAAAGTAAAAAAAAAAAGAGTTTGTATGGAGTTTGCATGTTCTCCCCATGCCTGGGTGGGTTTTCTCCAGAGTATTTTGTGCCACATTCCAAAAATGTGCATGATTGGTTAAAACACTCTGAATTGCCTATAGGTGTGATTGTGAGGGTGAATGGTTGTTTGTCTGTCTACATGGGACCTGGAACTGGCTGGCAACCAGTTCAGGGTGTACCCTGCTTCAATACGCTCGTAACCCTTGTAAGGATAAGCGGTTCGGAAAACTAGTAGTCGTAAACTAGATAAAGAATACAAATGTATTTCTAACTGAAATCCACAAATATGAAACAATTGATTCGGAATGTTGTCACATCAAAAGGTTTTAAATTGAATTAAAAACCGAACTGGATGACTGAATGAATTATCTGTGTATCAAAAAAACAATCAGCCCAGATGATACATACGTAGATACATGGACAGCCATCCATTTATTTTCTAATCCGTTCATCCTTACAAGAGTCGCGGGCGTGCTGGAGTCTATCCCAGCT